TCTCTCTCCCTCTCCTCTCTCTCTCTCCCTCTCCTCTCTCTCTCTCCCTCTCCTCTCTCTCTCCCTCTCCTCTCTCTCTCATCTCTTTTTTCTTTTCTTTTTTTTCTTTTTCTTTTTTTTCTTCTTCTTTTTTTTGTCTTTCGTATTTCCCTAACGCAATTCCCTCTCATATTTCTCTCCGTAAGAGAACTTGTAGCGTCATTAAACTGTTTTCATATTATCCTCGAAACCACGATTCTCTCTATTCAGGTAAGTTATGCAGTGTATATCGAGCTCTATACCGAAGGCAATAACAATAAGGTATCAGTAGAAAATAAAATTGTTTATGTTCAACTTCCTCTTCTTCTGCCATGTCTGTCCTTCATTTGGTCACATCTTGAAGCAAAATTACAAAATCTTTTATTCAATTTTCTAATTCAAATAAAACAATTATAAACACTTAATTTAACCTTGTTGGGAATTATGGCGTTTTCCGTCATGCTTGGATCTATCCAACGTCATCTTGGCCTTTTGCTATTGGCTACCTTTGTCCGGAAGGCTGGTATTGCCGTGTAAGCTTGTAGATTTGCGATGCCACATGCACATCACTTGAGGATTGTAGTAAATTCTTCTGAAATACAACGCCCCCTTCCTTTTTCCCGCCACACACGCGCAGTGGAATTTAAACCCGGGGATTCGGAAGCAGTGCGTTAAGCCGCAAACATCTGACTTCCTAGAAATTCCTGTGGCACCAATCCACATTGCGAAAGACAGAGAGGCTTGCGTTTGTTAATTACATGAAGTGTCAGAATGTGTCAGTAAGTGTTACAACTATACATGTGACTTTCTCAGTCACCTTAAGGTTTTGTCCTCTCTGCCAAGAAGACAATGTGTTGGTTGTCCCTAGTTATAACTGAACGCGAATGCTGCGTGTTTTCTGGAGAAACATTGCTTACATCTTGATACAGTCGATACTTTTGAATGGTTTGTGTGTTGATCAAATAACTTGACAGACGCCACAAGTTCACTAATTCATCATACACTGTATTTTTTCAGAAATGAATGTCCAGTGAACATTGTTTCTAAGGTATTCATTAGGCTTCCGTAAAACTAAATATTCTTTTTTTCTAATCTCGTAGTTTGTTTGTATTTATGAATCTTCGGCCTTACGGTTCGAGAATCATTTGGCTTAGGGAATCCGTCAATACATCTATTTGGAGTTGATCGACTTCACTACCATCTTGTAATTACCCGAGCTTTTCTGCTCTCTTTATGTATGTGTGTGTGTGCGTATATATATATATATATATATATATATATATATATATATATATATATATATATATATACATACACACACACACATTCAATGCATACGCATAAGTATGCGGCTACTCGCAGAATCCATCGTGGAAAGAATGAAAAAAGCTGATTCAGCAATGAATCCTTGAGCAATGAATGCCTTTCTCATTCCAAAAAGCCGGACTTGAATTCTAACCATGATGTTTACGTACGTGTGCAGCTTGAATAAACAGTAAACTAGAATAATTTCATTTATAACTTATTTATTACAACAAGACCATTTCTTCAATTTATGAAATCAAATTCCCTATTTGTTGCTTGCTATATATTCCCGATGCTGTAGGGACGGCCTGCGGGGCCCTGGGCCCGCCCCCTAACGGTGATCAGCTATTGAACACTTTAATTTCTGAAACCTATCACATGATTTTGGAAGTCGTGAAAATATAAAAGATATGATACTCTTTGTACAATAAAGCTTTCCTTTTTCGTGTTAACATTAATCTATCATCAATTGTAATTTTCACTAGACGCACAGAGAACATTGGAATTAAATTTAGACGGCGTCAGTGTCATTTGTTATGAGTCCGTAAGTGGCCAATATAAAACAATAAGAATTAGTTTATTCACTATTTCATACGTGATAATGATGGTTTTTAATGGCAGGATATGATTATTTTCTTTCTATTTATGTGTGTGAATAAACTACGGACATTTTAAGAGAAACTCTCTTCCACTTCTATCAGGAATGTCATTGGGTACACCACCGTACCTTATCGTCCGTAAATCCCATTAGCCTCTCGCCTTACGCCTCCATCCCTAGGGTCGCAGCTGGGGATTGCGGCTAAAATGGAGTTTGATAGTGACATTCTCTTGGGAGTATCCCTAAGGCCGAAGAGAGGGAAAGTAAAGTATTATTCATTTTCATCTAGAATAGTCGTACTCAACTTTCACCTCTGTCATTCCCGGGCCCCTCGGGGTGCTCTCCACGCCTTGAAGCATTGAGTCCTTCGAAATCCTGGTGTTAAATAAATCAAATTTGAAGTTGATTCTGACACATTTATCAACCCGATATATTTTGCTAGGTTTGAGAAAAATCATGTTTTTAATGCACAATTTAATATTTAATATTGTTTGAAGAAACAAAGTTTTAAAAAAATCACTTTTCTTGTTAGTTTTATCTGATCTTTTACTTAAATAACTAAAGGTATAATTGATAATTTAGTGGACCCGAACTCCAGAATTTCAGAAATAAGAAATCAATAAAGCTTCTTCCCAATGTAAATAAAAAAAACAAAAAAATCGACGGATTGCTGCACCCATGTTCATTGAAGCTCATTCGTGTTGAAAATTGAGTTTCCATGCGCTAGCTTTAGAGTGTTTTCTAGATTTAGAAACTCGACTTCCGTTTTGTATTGCAACGCTTCACCTTGAATCGACGTACTCGTGTAAAATTGAAAATTAGGTACGGAGAATTGTTCACAAAAATTAATTTCGAATGTTTCACTTCGGTTATGTATTTCGATCAACCCCTTTTTTTAGCTTATATTATTTTTCTAAATATTCCTGTTTTATTTATGAAACCTGCATAAAAAATTGCAGCCAAAGCTTTACATTGAAATCAGAAACGCTACAAATGGTAGCCTACAATTATTGTCTCGAGGAAATATCTCGAAATATTGTGTCAAATTCAAAGCACGTTATTTTTCTCTTTCAAATCCAGAATCTTGCTGTGTCACTCTTTCATTCTTCTCCATAATAGTCTATTCGTTAGGCCTTCCACTATGCGTGCACCCAACGATTTGACCTCTTTCGTGCTGACCACCGCCGCGTTGGTCCTGAAGGCGCGAGCATCCTCGTTCGCTCTTTTCCGCGAGCCGCCCCATCCCCCTGTGGACCTCGCGGTGAGTGCTCGTCGCCCCCTCCATTCCCTCGCACATCAGTCTACACTAGGGTTTATTTAACCGTGCATTTGAAGTAAATCAGCACTTGCGGATTCATCCAATCGGGAGATTGAACGTCCCCATGGTGACGTGACTGTAGCATAAGCTCCCGATGTCCCAAAGTAAACGACCACCATAATTTAAATATCCATTTCAAAATCAAGGGACCTCGACTTCAGCCAGATCTATTAAGGAATATCAATTTTAGTGAAAATCTTGCTTGCAGTTTAGTCATTAGCGCTGTTTACGAACTGACGGACAGACGTTTTGCCGTCAATCGATTTTTCGAACATTTTACCATTAAAATTACTGTTGTATGGAATTCGGGGTTTTGGTCTTTATGTTCATACTTTAAACAACAGTCTCTGAGAGTAAAAATACCGTACGGGGATGATGAAACATTGTATCCCCACATTTTTCAATTTATTGCGAATTTCACGTGGGGTCCCACAGGGTTTGATTTTTGGCCCAATTCTCTTTCTACTATACGTAAACCATATACCTTCGTCGATTCGAAACGGAAGAATGGTTGCCTCTGCTGATGATACGAATATTCTTTGCAATAAAGAAATTGTAAATAGTGCATTTTCAGATGTTTCAAATTGGTTCCGTAAAAACAATTTAATAGTAAACCAGTAAAGGGAAACCAGTTTAAATACATGTTCCTATCCCCTCCTCGCCTGCCAATGCAACCCCGCCGTGTAATAATCTTGCCGGGTTGTATCATTTCCAGTAACAAGAAATTTGAGACATTACCAAATTTGGGTTAACATTTACTTTTGTTCTGAGAGTTCTGTTGACCGCCTTGTTTCTTCTGTGTTGGCAGCTGCGCGCCGAAAAGGAGAAGTTCGTGCAGTGGAAGGACCAACTGGAGCGGGAGAAGAACGAAGCCTATCGCCAGGTGAGGCTCTTTCCGAAGACTAACGAACTATTTTGTTAATCATATGCACAACAAACCTTGCCATAAATGAATAAACTATGAATAGTTTTTTGTTGGAGCTCCAACCCGCAATTTGAGATCGTAAACGCATTAAAACATAATTGAACAATCTCAACTGGTCACAATCTTAACTCTTTAAGAAATTTCAGCTTGCTTAGAGACGAAATATTATGAATTGTAAGTTACAATTATTGTAGAGATCATTGTATGGATCCTGTGTACAAAAGCCAACTATCATGAAATGAGAACTCGGGGACATCAAGTATCACCTACTCTCTTTCTCTCACTGAGCAAAGCGAATGTTCCAGAAATCTCAGTAGGCTTCCTAAGGCAATGTTGCCGGAGCAATTTATGTCTGGCTGTGGTCTATAAAGGGTTGAGAATTGTCGCCAGATCGGACTCCCAAGCACTGCTACCATTAAATAAATACCCATGCATTCTAAATGTCCTCTCCAATTCGGAACATGACTAAAGAAATGTAATTGCCAGGAGACAGATTCTGAAGACAAAAATCAATAAATTCGCAATAAAATGCTCTAAAATTATCAGCAATGACTTTCATAAGTATTGAGCGTAAATAATGACTTTTAATTATTTTGTTATTAATTTGGTCGTTATTGTAGGTTACGAATGAAACACACATTTTCCTTTTTAAGTTAATGCCGGCGTTGAGCGATTAATTTCCACCAAGGCTGTGAATGAAAGCTTTTAATTTCCCTACCCTGCCCTCTTGTGTGCCTGTGCAGCTGAAGCGGCAGGCGGCGGAGTCGGAGTCGACGCGGCGCGGCCTGGAGCGCGGCCGGCAGGAGGTGATGCGGCAGGTGACGGCCATCGCAGCCGAGAAGGACTCGCTCGAGAGAGAGGCAAGCGCTACCAAATTGTTTCTTTGAAATAAAATGCGTGCTTATTCAAAATTATGGCGCGGACTTACCGAGGCTTCAAAAGTGTGTGTGTGGGGGGAGTGTTAAAACGAAAATATTTATTTATTATCTATATGAAAACCAATATCCAAATCTAGAGAAGTCTTGAAATAAAACGTGTCGTCATCCTGTGTATCACTTTGCATATTTCGTCAGGGAAGTTAGGGAAGTTGAGAATAGTTCGTGCTGAGCGTAGGCTTTGACATGTGAACTAGACTCACGCCACTCAGTCGGGGGAAGTCCCACAGTAACACGTGGCGTGTGACCAACCACTGCATTCCGAACTTGCATGTCTTTCACCATACACACAAAAACTCATTTTTGAGTATTAAACTTTAAAATGGTAAAAATAATTCATATAATATTTTGCGAAATATAATATATATTTTAATATTTAATTTATATATTTTATAATAATATTTGTTTCGAGAAAATATTAATTTTATGCATCATAATTAAAATATTTATTTTTAGGTGATACACAATTTGGTATATTGCAAATTTGGGGCTCTTCTTGAATTTCCACTTAAATCCAATAATCAAGATTGGGGAGGGGGATACATTTTTACCTAAAAGTCGAAGCCCTGTTCATAATAGAAACTCCTTTGGAATGTGATACAATCAATTTTGAAAACTGTTGCAGATCAATTTAGTAACATTACAAATAAACATTTCATTAGGGGGAGGTTGATATGACTCTTTAGAGTTCCCTTAAGAAATTTAAAGCTGTGATCAGTAACTTTCATTTAATGCATGTTATAGCAAAAAGGTTTGAGTTAGTATTTCAACTATTGCATGATAATTCATTACCAAATTATGTTGTCTTAATTTTCATAGAATGAAAAACTGAAAGAAACTCTGACTGAAGAGAGAAAAGGAGTAGGCCACTATTTGATGGACGTTTCAAAACAGAAGAAGAGAATAAGTCAAAATGTGGTTGGGCTAGAAAAGGAAGTAAGTAATGAATACAAATAAGTATTAATGTTAGTTTGAGAATTGGAAAATAATTTTCATTTGCCTGTTTAGGTTTCTGAATTAAAACATATGGCAAGACAAAGTGCTTCACTGAACAATCAGTTTAAAAAAGGCATGAAACATTTAGCATCTTGCAAAAGGAAGAAGTGTTCTGTTTGCACATACACAAGAACAGCATTTGGAGAATACGCTGACAGAAACGAGTAAGTATTGTTTTGAACTTATTTATTTAATTTAATTGACTTTAGAGCAAGCCTGTCTTTGAGATGAATTAGAAATATTTTTGGATATATATGTATGTGCGTGCGTGTGGGTGCGCGCGCGCGTGCGGGTGCAAAGCTAGTACTTCTAATAATATATTGAGCTCTAATTTGGCTTCTGTGTAGTTTGTTGATGTGAGCATGAATTAGATTGGAAACCAATTATAGAAAAGTATTACCATGTTGGCTTTTGCATTTCAGCAAGAAGTTATTGGGATGCTTTCAAGCTCCTTTGCAGGATCTGCGCAATTGGATTCGACCAGTCCCTCTGTCTGCCAGCTGCTCTGAAGATGAGAGTGCAGGTCCGTTCTCTCGTGAGAATGAAGGGCCTGCCACCTCCAGTGCTTCTGGACTTTCTGCCTACCTTGGTCATGCCTCTCCCCTCCCATCCACTCGATCTGAATACTCTTTCCGGCGAGCGTATTCTTCGGAAACTCAGACGTCAGCAAGCTCACCCTCTCCCACCCCGTCCTTACCAGCCGAATGCCTAAGTGAAGGGGCTGTGGGCCCCTTGCCTTATATCTCTTACATAGACGAGGTGAGTCAGGCTGATATGTACTCACTTTAATGCACAATCATTAACTTAAAATAATTACATTTTGGATATTTTTAGACTTAGGTTTGTAGCTTCAACTTTATTGCATCAGTAGCACATATCATGGATCTTGTGTCTTGGACCCTCTCTCAGATCTTGTATGAGTAGTTGAAACCAAATTGTAGAGAATGGACGACATGCATGTGATAATCTCAGCTGTTGCTCACCTGGCAGCAAATATCTAACTTACAGATATTTCACGCAAATTCTTACACTTCAAGAGAAATTACTTTCTTGCTTATGATTTCTGTATTTTTCTCTGTGGAAGGAGATTTTCCTTTGTCCTTTGACTCTTAATTAAAGAGAGGCTGAGGGAGTTTGGGCTAATTCTCTTGCTACTGTAATATGAATTTTAAATCTCTTCTTCTTGAAGATAATAATTAACTCTGAAATAACCAAGGCCTAACTTTTCATCTGTAATATACTTGATAATCATGCCACACTAATCCACATATTGCGTGATGACTAATGCCTGGCAATTGCACCCCAGGTGAGCACGAGCTCAGAGTCGAGTGGTGATTCGGGCCAAGGGGAAGAACCCTTCCCAGCCCTGGAAGGGCCACCCTGCGGATGCCCATACAGCAACTTGTCCGTCCCCACCGACGCCTCGCTGACATCATCGTCATCAGCCCCTCCTACAGCAGCTGCTGGCAGAGCCTTCTCGTCAGATTCTGGATTCTCATCCGAACTGTATGACACAGGGCGCCGCTCTCTCCATTCCAATGCCTCCAAAGCCGCAACAAGCACACAATCTGCTAGCAAAGCTGAAATGGAAGATGATAGGCTTCCTAATTTGAGTCGGTCCAAATGGACCTCCTCTTTCCGTAAATTAATAAACAAGGTATCAAAAAGGTAAATAATGCATGCTTCTTCTATTGAAATTTAAATGTGGCTGTGAAATAAGACCTCATCAGTGATGAAACCAGAAATGATACCCTCACTTTAGAAGCCTGCTTTTAATTTTATTGACTGATAATTAGTTACATAATTTTTATTGTTTTGAAATCTGCTGATGGTTTATTTTGTATTGTATATCACAAACTTCATTTTTCTTTTGAAAAAAATGTACAAGAATAGTAAAAATTATCCAATATCTGTATGTTACACAATAGCATCAAATATTCGTGTGTTGTATAGAGAGTTGTTACTTTTCAATTAAAGAAAAAGATGAAGGAAATTTTTATTTTCTGGTTACACCACTGGTTAATTAAAGCATGTTCACATTTCAAATATATACAATATATCACGCTAAAGTTCTCATGCTTGTGCAGATGTATTCCAATAATATATAATTGTTTAACTAACTTATTTCTGTTGAGTGAAATCCTTTCATTTCAGAAATTACAACCTTAAAATAAATGTCTTGTTTTAAAAAAAACATTTAAAATTTGTTTATTTTTGAGATTTGGATGGCAGAGCAATTTCAGAGAGATGTTTTCTACTCTAGCTGTGGCATAATGTTAAAGTTTTATTTCATTGTCTTGAAATTATTCTTAAAATGCTGCTAATTGGATCAGAACTACTCATGGAAATAAAGACATTAGTAAATGTTGTAGTATTCTTTGAATGGTAAATATCTAAATGAGTGAAAAGAGCATAACTCCCTTAAAAATTAATGAAATAACAGTAGTTATGTACATTAGCATATGTTCTATAGTTGTGCGTTCATGGAAGTAGACATTGATATTTGCACATGTAAGATATAGTAATTGTAAGTTATTTGTGTTTAATTTATAGACCTTGTTTTGATTTCATTGATTTTCTTTTCATTTCAAAATTTATTTAGTTATTATTCAGTGGCTAAAAATCAGATCCTATTTACCTAAGTATTCAATAGATATAACTTGTATCTCCATTCAAATTGCTCTTGTGAATATCATTGATTTCTTTAATCCAAATTTTGAATACTAAATAATTCTTATTTCTTTGTACCAACAACTCTTAAAGATATGCATGAAATCGCCCATTGCTGTCGTATTCTTGTGAGAAGGCAGTTTGTAAGAGAAAACATCAAGACTGATTTTTCAAACATGACCTTTCTTATTATGTGTTTGCATATGTATTTTATGTTAATTTCATTGTGTATTCATTCATTTTTGGTGATGGAAATAGTACCCCCGAATACCTCAATTCTTAGTTACTTTTTGTATGTAAAGTAGAATTAATTCCAGAGTGAAGTTAAGTATATTAAAAATACGTATTTCGTGTGCAGTTGAGTATATTTCAGAAGTCCAGATCTTAAGTAGTTTCTATCTTGATGGTGAAGTTCACATATTAAATGATTGAGGTAGAAAGTGTCCTTAGCATCACCTTTCATATAGACGTATTGATCAAAGAAAAAAACATTTAAAACTGCCTGTTTTGTACATAAGAATTTATACACCAATCTAACATTTCAAATATATTTGTGGCTAGTAAACTATTATTCAATTAGATGTGTTGTATGCTCTGTCTTGCCATTGGCAAATTGGTACCCAGGAATATGTAGGATTTGGTGTTACAAGGAGCCATATTTAGCAAATCCCATAATAAAGTTTATGATTGATTCCATAATTAAAGAATATTGATTGTTTCAAAAATTGTAAAATGAATTGTGGAAAAGTAGATTCAGGTTGTTTTTTATTTCAGGCATGTTAGATTGAGATTCTGTTACTCTTTGAAGCACTACAGATTAGTGAGAATAGTTTGGTGATGAGGACAGTTCTGTCTAGCTCCGTTGTAGTTTGTAGAAATTGGGAACCTGGACTTTGCTCAAATACCAGAGTAATGTCTGTTTAGGTCTGAATATTATTGTTCTTCTATGAGGGTGACTTTTGGGAATCTTGTAAACACTTGTTTGCTATGCCTAGATCCCAGACATATCTTTATCAATGGGATTTATGTTACGTTGTCTGCAAATATATTGAAGATCTCTGAAAAACATGGTTGTGAATTTTCCATTCTGATCATCAACAGATAATGATTTGTCATTTGAATGGGAAGAGAATAGAAAATGTTCCATTTAAGATCTATGAAAAATACTTTTGAAAATTTCTGCACATTGAAAAATAGTACTTTCAATGCTGTGTTATTTGTGTTTTTTAAACATCATATCTATTAGAGAAGGAGACAGTAGAATCTACATTTTAATTGGAATCTGATCATGTACATTGTGTTATGATAACTTAATAATAGAGCAGCAGATTCGCAAATTTGGAAGTAACACATTACTCCTAAACAAATTTTTACTAATGTGAACAGTAAATAGTACTTTGAGAAATGTAGTTTAGTATGAAATAATTTTCCTTGGTACTCCTAGTATAAGATTATATGGTCACTAATAACAATAAAATGGCATTGTAACTTACATTGCTCAAATTGGCTACATTGTATATCGAGTTAACTCCTTGACAATTTTCAAACCGTTGTCATTTTTCCACTTTGAAGATTTTAGTTTTTCACAATTAAATACAGCAGAAGGGAATAGATCATGGCCTCTTGAAGTGTTTCAGATAAAATGTGTATGGGTTTCAGTCTAAAAAGAAGCATTGTGGACATAGTAAAAACTTTACTTACAGACCAGCCATACAGGGAATTTCAAAATTATGGTTTTAAAATATTACATTGTTAATCGTTAAAAAGGTGTTTATAATTATTATAATCATATTTATTTTTGTTTGAATTTTATTATGTGTTATTTTCAAAACCAAACTCATCTCAATACAGTTGTGAATTGGTGTTATTGAATATATTGTTAAAAAAAGGAATGGCGTTTTATCTATTAATTTTCCTGGACTTTGTCCACAAATATTATTGATTTGATGACAATTGGCACCATTTTGACAGGAGGTAAAAGACATTTTATCTATTAAAAATCATATTTAAATTATTCAGAATATTATACATAAAGCACATTTGAGTAGTTAGTTAAGCATTACATTGATTTTCAAAATATTGAAAACAGTTTCAAAAATAGATGCTTAAATAATCACGCCAATAATTAAGTTTTATGGAAAAGGAAAGAATGAACAAACGTAAATTGTCAATTAATTGAAATTTAATTATCAAGTTTTTTTTTAATTGTTCGTTTCATAACCATTGAATATTATTAAAATAATTGCATCTTGGGTTTAGTCATTACATTAATTGTGAATAATAATAATAATGAAAAGTGTACTTCATATACAAAGGAATTTTGAAAACTTGAACTGTGGAAAAACATTAAAATACTGAATATTTAAATTTATCAAGGTGTAATACTTTGAAATAGGTAAATTGTCAAACATTTGGAGTGAAGCTGGTCTGAAATGATTACATCATTCCTAATTGCAGCATGTTGTATTGTACTCAAATTATACACACTTCATTGTTTCCTTTGACTGCAACTTTATAAGGTGGAACACCATGAGTATTGACAGATAAGAGATTATTTCACACCAGACCTACACCAACCACATTGCAATCTACAGAGTTGGTAGTTAACAAAGAAATCAAACTGTTTGTTGTATTACTGCTATTACATACAAGTTAAACTTCATGTCCAAGAAACTAAATTTTATATTATTGAGATTTACATGCCATAAAACACAGTGTGATCACATAAAGAGAATGAAAAGAATTTGTCATACCTTTGAATTTGATTTTTCGTAGTCCCACTGTATTCTATTTTCAGGTAGGCATTGAAATGATGAAAGGTAAATCATTTGTTAATCCTCCAGTTACATCCAGAATCATTGGATCATGTAATACTGAAGAAAAAAAATATCAAGATTTTAGGGCCTATGTCTTCTTGCAATGCCCTGGTTCACTATTTCAAAAAAATCTTTCAATGCCTGTTTTAAATTGGAATTTAGAAGTTAGCTGAATCTGGTGTACTGCTGTAGACTTGCTTGTAAGTTCCATTCTAGGCACTAGCTTTTTGTGGAAATAAAAAAAAAAAGTTCAGTTTTAGAATATCGTAAAACATTTTTTTGCACATATTGAATAATATAATACATGTTCAGATACTAATTAAAACTTTTTATGGATTATTCTCTTTCCATTCTCTCACAGTAACATTTTCATATCTCTGGATTTCTCAACTGGTTGAGATTTTCCAGAGCTTTTTAATTAACTGTCCTGCCATAATCTCGACTAACTTGTGTGATTGGCAAGATCTGAGAGGGAATGGCTAATAATGGAAAATGTCCATGATAGAAGCAGCATTGACTGTTAAATATTTAGTATTTTATTAGAATACACATTTTGTATTTATAGTATTGTTTTATTGTTGAATTTATGTTTCTTATTTTAGCTGATAAATGTAACAAATATAAAATTGGTTTAATTATTTTAGGACTCAATGTAGTGAATATGGTATAATTTGGAGTATTTATTTGTATTGTTCCAATCACAATTTTTTTTTAAATTAATACAAAGTTTTGCCATTTGCATATTTTTTCCTTTCACATTGTAGTGTTTCTAATAGTGTTTTTCCTGATGATTAGTGAACAATGGCAAAGTGCTACTTACAGTACAACAGCGGCAAAGTGCTACTTACAATGTGTTATGCCACTGCTAAGAGGATTATTGAATACAAATACAATTTTTACTTATTTACTTGTACAGAACTTTGGAAATTTGAGTATTGTATTATCAAATATTATCCAATTTTTATTGTATGTTAAATAAAGTGCAAATGGTACAATGTTAAATTGTCGTTGGCTTGTTGTTGTTGTTGTTTTGGGTTTGGAAGAGGAATCTTTTATCCTACTGTACTACAAAAGCCCTTAATTATATTAAATAAGAATTGCTCTATCAGTTTCATAATTCTATATACATTTGCAAGTTTGTGAGGGAAGTGGATAATTTGAGTTTCATATAACATAATATCACAAAATATCTTTAAAGAATTACAAAACACAGTTAACAGTACACTTTAATATCAAGTTTTACCATTCATCTTCCATTCACAAAAGTTACTTAACTATTCAGTCTTTGTAATTCATGCTATTTCCATCCATTTTAATGAGATGTTTAAATAGCTAGACTATATCTCACTTTGAAATTTTATAATAGTCCTTCCATTTTTCGCTTTTTCTAAAGAGTAGTTTAAATTCACATTTACAATGAAACACAATAATTTTATACATGGAATTTATTTGCATTGTTTATCATGTGCATTCTTATTCCCAAGAGCAGTAAATCAAATATGATTTTTTTTTTTTGGAAAAATCATTTTTTGTGAAGAACACTAGTAATCTAGAGCTTGTTATATGGCTAATATACTCATAACCAAAAAATCACTGCATTTCTTTTTTGCTCATGGCAAGGAAGTAATAAATATATCGAAAGGTATGTAAATGATATGTTAGTCTGATTAACCTTGTAGCTTTTACTTTGAGCAAACTTCAACAGAACCTCAACATATATATTACTACCAATCTAGCTGTTTAATAATACCAAAATGCAGTATTCTATTTTGCATTTTTCACAATTCAGACTTCTTTATAGATTTGTGTTCTTCCTGTTATTTACACAGTTGTTTGCTTTCTTTCTTTTTTAAAGTACCCCAAAAAATGTATACGAGTAAAAAGGAAAGAGTTAAAAAGGTTTTCACAAAAGAATTCATGCATTTCTCATAGTCAGAACATACGATACACACACATGTGAGCATGTTCAGTTTGGAAGAAGTGAAGGAAAAACAAATATGGCAGATGTCAACCTGAATTAATTCCCACTATGTATATGATAATAATATGAAGGTTTTCTGTCATTCCATTGGTTTCATTTGTCTTCTAATATTTTTATTGTTAAAAAGCATTGGATATTGTGTTTTCTTTAATGCTTTATATGTAGAACAAGTATATTTGCTCTACTTCTTTGTACATTAAAATACAACAAAAACTAACAGATTATAAATAACAACATCAGTACAATGTCCCAGAAAGACTTCTGTTTAAAATATTGTAATAACATAGTAACTTTGAATGACTTTCATAGCACTCTTCAATAACTATAAAAATATTACATATTTTTTCATGCGGACATGTATTCAAAGTCTTGTATTTTGAGGAGGTTCTTATTAAAATGAACATAGATCTAAATCTAAGCATGCATTGAAGAAGTGTTGATATTTTGACTTATTTTCTCAAAAATCGTAATGTTTAGCTCTAATAGAGTACTAAAAATGTTTCATGTTGAATGATGAAAATTTTATCTGATCAGTTCATATTTTGATTGCATAGTCATATAAGGAATAATTGTGGTTTCACTTTAGGTATAGTTTGTTATCAAAGAAGTACAAAAGTGTGTAGCAGTATTCCCATGATTTCCTTTTAATTTGTGTTTTTCACTAAGAGAAATACCTCCAAAAGTGCTTCAGCACTTGTTCCCAATGAAAATTGGTTGTCATATATTTAGGATTTCAGAATTACTTACTCTATGACTAGCATTATTAGCTTCATATCTGAAGCTTCAACGGACAATGTTGCAAGTAAAAATAAAGATGTCTCTTTTGTATATAATGTGGACTCAGTATTGCCAAGGAATGAGCTAATTATTTTTGTACAAAGGATTAGGCTACAATAGTCTTGAAGAAACTGAATCAGTTTAGTTTGTTTTTTTGCGCTATGGAAGAATCGGGGAGAAGTAGAATGACACGTGCAACCGTTATTGCAAATCGCTCGCTTTAGTCATCTCTAAATCCCTTTGATAGGCCTGCTCCGTCTGTCGAGTAGCGTCGTTGTTCGAGTTGCAGCGGGACGAGTAGGAACTGGGCTGACTGGCGGGCGGGCAGGGGCATGGCCCCCGTGTGCGTTTGGCGGAGAGGAGGAGCCTCGGACCCCTCAGTTGGGGAGTCCTGCGGGCGCGGCGGCGGGGGCGGGGGGCGGAGGAGGCGACTGCGTGGGGGGCAGCACGACGGTGAGCGGGTAGCTGCTGAGGATGACCTTGTGCTTGAGCGACTCCTCGTAGCTGGGCGGCGAAGCAGCGGCAGCGGCGGCGGCAGCGGGGGCGGGCGGCGGGGCGAGGGACCCGGCGGGCAGGAACAGCCCCATGCAGGGCGTGGGGTGCAGCGGGAACGGCTGGCTAGGCGACAGCGCCGGGGGCGGCCGCGGCTCCACGCCGTTCAGCGAGCTGAACACTGCAATCAGCCACTTAATATGTAAAGGCTGCCGTCACACGGACCCAGCAAGAAGGGGGAGACCCCTTCACACGCAACCGCCATTGACCGCGAGAAGGAAGGATTCGCGAGTCACACAGCTGTGGGTTCCGCCGGCCAAAGGCAGCCAGCAGGCAAACATCGCTTCAATGGCGCGTCCGAAAGGTCTAGTATGAAGCCTGCCATTTGGGCTAGGATTTAACCGTGCATAAGAAGTAAATCAGCCTGTCACGGCTTCATCCAATCGGGAGCTTGAGCGCCCCCAAGTGACAGAGGACATATAAGCTCCCGATTGGATGCAACTGCAACAGCTGATATGTCATGTGCATGACAAAATAAATCGTACTATAGAACGGTGTTCTGCTGGAGGTGGCGCTGACACGCGTCTGCGCCGCTGGTGGCGGGAGTTCGCGACAGAGCACCAAAGCAGCACGACTATACACGCCGCTCATGTGAATGCCTTCATTTAAACCAGTGCTTTGCCAGCAGACGCGCCTCTTTGAAGCGCTGCGAAGTGGCCCTAATTACAAGAGACCCATGTTTAATGCCCATAAGTGCATTCATCCACCCTTCCCCAAAAAGCACATCATACAACTCCAACACAAATAGAAAACGATAAAATACAATAACAAATTGCCATGGGGGAAAAAAGAAAGAAACAAAATTAGTCTGACAGTGCTTTGAGCTTGCGAATGAATGCAGAAAACAACTGCTCTGACTTTACATCAACAGAACGTCACAAGACTTGACTTCAAACAAGTAATTGTGCTGTAGTCTGTTTCTGTTTCAGGAAATAGAATGATAAATTTATTTTGAAGGTGGAAAGTTTCTTTGGGCTCATGCACAATAAAGCAAGAATTAAAATTCAAATTATAGAACACGAAATCAATACTTATCTATAATATAGAACAAAAATCACTTGAAATGAATACAGTGTGCATGTACATATTTGTTAAAAAGCATAATCATGACTTGATAATTTAATAAAAACTAATAATTGTAGAAAATTATAATACATATTTACATATTATTTACTCAAATACTGCACAGCATTTTTATTTCTGTACTGTGCTATATTTTGATGTAGACTTGTAGTATAATAGAATCTGGCTTGACTTCAAGTTCATGGATATTAACCAAGACCCAAACTTTAAAAGAAACTTTTGTTCAATTTATGATTTGTCACCCAAAAGATAAACAATGTTTGCTATTACTGTATACCATCTGTACAATCCCTAGTTACAGATTTCAGATTTGCAATTTACCTTTTACCCAGAAATTTATATATTTATTTGTAGATTCATAGGGATGCAGCAAAAGTGATTATGCGACAATCAATGAATATGTAAAAGAAGATAAGAGATTATAATTGAATGAATGATTGGAAAAATAGTACTAATCCAAAATTTTCATTTTTCTTTTCTCTCATTCATTTCTCTACATGCAGAAGTATTTGCAGAAGGCATGGAACTTCATGTTGTGACTGAAAATAGTGCACTATAAGGTCATTTGACTTCAAATCAGGCAACACCTTCTCTTTGATGAGTTTAAGAACAGTATGTGTCCTGCACATTTACTGCTCTTTCACTAAGGATTTCAGACGTCTGATTCAGGATGTTCACAGTGGATGGTTCACATTTTGTATTTGCCACTGGTATGGAACTGATGCAATTTATTTGTTTTGTTACTGATTAGGACTGTTTCTGTAATGAACTGAAGACCGAGAGGTGGAGGAAAGAGTGAAGAGGCAAATAATTTTCATTATTTTGCATTGAAAGAATGTGTTCACAGTCAAGTTGTTAAATAAGCATACACAAGCATAAATGGAATATGACACATTCAGGTTCAATGACTTTCTTTTGTAGTTTTTTGTGGTACATTGTTATTTTGCAAGGAATTTGGTTGTTAAATCTTTGAGGTAAATAACAGTTCAAGCCCACAGTTCTTGTTTAAATTATAACACATTTTGTATCACAATTATTCCTCAGAACATATTTGTACAGCTTGGTGAAACATTTCGGAAGTAAGAAAATTGTTTAAATCTCAACTGTTTTTGTCATATCTAATTAAAAGTTAAAACTTGAATTATCTCAGAATGAACTTTCTAGACTAGTGCTCTTTTCCACTAACTCATTCAATAAGCATAATGATATCTCACTTATGTAATACAATTACATCACAATGACAATAATAATTATTATTATTATAATAGAGTAATAATATTATCAGTTTTCAAATCTGTGGTAAAGTGATTTGAACTTTTGTACACTTGGTGGCTGAAGTTCATTCACTATTAATTAATAAAAAACTAGCACACACTCATTCAATCACACACAGCACCATAAAAAACAGATACATAAGAAATTATTTCTTAAGATAATTGTAATTACTAGAATATATTGTTGTTGTTTTTTATGAAAAAAGTAATTTCATTTGTAAAGTTTTGAATAGACTTAATAGAAGCCTTCAACGCAGATGAAAAGCCGCAGCTCAACAGAGGACACATGTAAGTGCTTGAAAAGAGCTGAGATTCATCGTTAGATATAAAGCACTTGGTGGATGTACCTCTGTAGGAGGCCACCCACGTGGCGGGCTGCCCGTGCGACTCCTCGAGGTCACGCGGCAGATCGGGCCGCCTCCGCCGCCGCCGCCACAGCTTCCCGCTGCGAACAGGAGGTGGTGCAATTTAGCACTCTACATTTTTAAAAAGGAGCATTTTGGAAATAGATTTAGCATCGGTGAGAAAATTATTATTAAGGGAGGACTCTGTGAGATAAAAATTATTTTAATCCTTTTTAGATTTTCCTATTAAAAGGGAAATAAAGGAAACTTATTTAATACTTTGCCATTTGTGAAGTTCAAGAAATACGAAAGCGTAAGAAGTAATCCGTGCGGCGTAGGTATAGGGCGTGTCTTTTCTCCCGTACAGCGAAGAAGCTGAGACCCCTTGAAATGACCCTGCTTTCAGGAACAGTTTGTTAGATTTAGATTTAGTTAAAAATCAGTAAAAACTATATGATGTATGGGGGAGAAGATAATCTGCACACATTTTCTCGAGTTCTAGAATCCCTTCCCATCATTTTAACTATAAATAGTTAAAAGATTAGTAAAAGAGAGATTAGCGACGTTTGAAAAACTAGACATTTTCGTTCCCGAGTTCTAGAAAACTTATTTGCAACGGTAAAAGAAATGCAGATTTTGTTTCCTGCATTGCTATCAAAATAGCTCGCCCTTACCTGTACTCCTACCACTACAAGTAAGAGAAGCGTTCAACAAAACGTGCGCATAGTGAAGCTATACAGTTACGTCCAGAAGAAAACAGGGGCTTTCTCAGCATTTGCTCAATGTATCAGAGAAACTGAACAAAAACCTGATCGAGATGGGGGTCATTGACCCGGAAGCTGAAGTACATTATTTGATTACAAGCATATTAAGTCTTTTAAAAAAATATACAAACAAATGTAAATTAATTCATTGCATCAATGTTTTGTTAAAATAAACATATTTTTCTCTTTGTTGTTCAGTATAGTCTCTATTTGTATAGAAACAGTTAAGCAGCAGTAAATATTTTACTTTTAACTTAAATGCGTGTACTGACTTCAATTGTTTAATGTCATCTGGCAATGCGTTTTAAAGAAACGTACATGTATTATATATGGATTTCTGGTAGTGAGCTGTTAGATACTGACACTTGATGAACGTAATTTCTACGACGTGTGTTTTAATTAAAAATATCAGTGTTGCATGAAAATATGTTCCCGCCGTTAAGTAAGTCAGTTTTGACAAATATTACAGATTCGTTAATAAATAGACAAGGCAATGGTAAGATTCCAAGCTCAATGAAGAGAAGTTTGCTGGAATCACAAGGATGGCATTTTTTCATTTTTCCAATAATTTTCTTTTGTAATCTAAAGGTCTGGGTAATACATGATGAGCTTCCAGAATATTATGCGATATCTCAGGCGGGAATGCACATATGCAAAATACACGCAACGAGCTGCATGAAAGCTGACAGAACTTGAAAGAATTCTGAATGCGTAACATAATGAACTTAATTTAGTGTTTAATTATGTTACGTATATGTACATTCCATTTGAGTTTTGAGTGAATTGAGAGACCTAGAAATTTTGTTACCTTAACATCAGCTAATTGCATATTGTTCATTTTCAATGGAGCATGCAATTGCTGCTTTGAAGTGCAAAAATGCATTGAGACCGTTTTTTCCTTCGGTAACTATTAATTTGTTAATACAAAACCAATTTGAAACTTCTGAAATAATACTATTTATTGTTTCTTTTTTTCAAAGAACATTCGTGTCGTTGGCAGACAAAATATACTTTTTTAATAGACGAGGACATGTCGTTTACGTATAATAGAAAGAGAATAGGACCTAAGTGCAGGCGATTGAATCTTGCGGGACCCCATATTAAATTGGGAGAAAATCGGAAAGATAAGTAAATAATGTCCTTTCGTGCCAGTACTGTAGTTCTACTCTTTGAGATGGATGTTTAAGGTACGAGGTTATCCAGTCTAGGGCGATACCACGAATTCCATAAGAAGGTAATTTTGCTAGCAAGATGTTATGGTCAATAACGTCAAAAGCTTGCGAAAGATCTAAAAATATTCCAATGAATGCTTCATTTTGGTCCATTGATGAAACATCTTTAAGAAAAGATTTTGATTTTCTAAAACCGTGTTGTGAGTCTGAAAACGCTTCGTTTTCCTGAGAAAAGTTTCCACTCCCGTATCGAAAAGCCTCTCTAATATTTTTGAGAAATCTGACAAAAGAGAAATGTGCCGGTAATTTTGAATTGCATGTTTTTTTCTCTTTTTTTAAGTTTCTTAATTTTCCCTGTTTTGAAAATATGTAGAAATATTCCTGTGCATAAAGAGTCATTGAAAATGTGAGTTAAGGTGTATAAACGCAGGTACACAAGTTTTCAATAAACAATGCGGAAATTCATCTAAACCAGATGAATATTTGTTTATTAGTTTACTGACTTTTCTCAGGATTTCGTTAGAATAAGTTTGGAATAAACATTGTGTCTAAAATGTTTTGGGAAGGGAATGATGTTGAATTTTGTTGTTTTAATCCCTTCGTGAGTTTAGCGGCGATTCTAGAAAAGTGTTGGTTGAAGAGATTTGCCACTTTTTTAGATTACTTGCTTTTCCTTCATTATCCTCTAAAAGAACATTCTCTTCTAAGTAACGAGATGATGTGGTCGTATATTTTACGATATTACACATTGCTTTAGTTTTGTTACTAGCGTTCAAAATATCCTGATTCATTTTCATTATTTTTGTTTGAACTGATTACTTTTCTTAAAATTATTTTGTATTCTCGGAAGTAGACATGGAAACCGAGTGATACATTATGATATTTAGAAATAATGTAAAGCGTACGTTTGTTTTTACACTATCTAATTCCTTGCGTGATACAAGTATTGTTTTCCGTGAAATGTTTCTTTTTCTCTTTTTGAGAGGAAAGCACGGGTTAAAGTACAACGAAAGCTATGAGAAAAATAGAGTACATTTTTGATTTGTGTCAATTTGTTATAAACTGTGTCCCAAGATTCCTTCAGCAGTAATTTTGTGTTAACGTTAGTGAATGCTCTGTTCACGCGTGTAACGTATTGGAATTAATTGGTTTTTTGGTATCAAAGACCCACAATAGAGGGATTCTGGCTACATCACGTGTTAGAAGATGTTTTTCCTTAATCGAAAACTTCAGAAATATACTACACCAACCGTCTCAATTACTATTTTTTTCAGCGTTTGTTAATATTTTGCATTTTTAGTACTTTGCTCAAATCTTCCATCTCTAAATATTGTCAAACAGTACTACAGACCCCCACTAACAATTCTTATTTTCTCGTATACTACTTAGAAGAGAAAACGTAGTAATTCTGCGGAAAGAAGAGCTGATTTTTCGTCAAAAACTCGCATTGTAAATCGTGATACCAAGAAAGTTGATAAGTATTGTTCCTGTATGTAGTAAATTACTTCCCCTAACACTCTAAGCCCTCAGAATCATCTCTGTCTTAATATACTTTTTTCATTCATATTCTTCTCTTCAGTCATATTCACATACACTTTTTTTTTCTTCACAAAGCAAATATTACTTTAAATTTTGCTGTAACTGCCTGTACTTCATGCCCCCTTTTTTATCATTTAAATGTATATTTAAAGTTAAGAATAAAGAATATGAATAAAAATATAATACATACCAATTACAAAATAGTTTTATTCCTAGGTACACCATTGCTCCTATGGTCATCACGATGATACCAGGTATGATGAGGTCTCGAACAGGATCAAAAGATCTCGCTGAAATGAAATGTCTCTATTAATAAACAAAATTATCTTGATTTTATTAACTTTAAATAAATAATCCATGTTGGTGTTTGTATATTTGCTATATATTATTTATTTTCTGAAAATCTATTACAAATGTAATTTATCAAACCTGCTTAACGAACAGAAATTTAATTATAAATGCCTCGTATCAAGCATTCATAATCCAAACATCGACAGTATCGTACATCGCGTACTTTTTGAGTTATTTCAAGTTGTCAAGTTATATGGGACACCTGTATAAATATGCATATATGCGCGCTGCAGAATAAAATTGCGCTTCATTTTAATTCAATTGCTATTCAAACTGCGCTCGATTTGCGCGCTTCACCGTTGCCGCGTGATGCAGGGCAAAGCCCAGGAGAACCGTATGAACGCGCGCGCGCGCGCGCGCGCGCGCGAAAGAGAGAGAGAGAGAGAGAGAGAGAGAGAGAGAGAGAGAGAGAGAGATGAAGAGAGATGGCGAGAGATGAAGAGAGTGAAGTAGACAGACACAGAGGGATAGAGACGGCGCTCGTAAATAAGAGTGGTAGAGACAGATACAGAGACGCAGAGAGACGGACGGCGACAGAGAGATAGAGGCAGAGGGGATAAGGAAAAACCGACGATATATATAGAGTCAGAGCGACGCGCGTAAGGGAGAGAGAGAGAGAAAGGGGCGGAGGACAGCGACGCTCGTATGTAAGAGAGAGAGAGAGACACACACACACACACAGGGAGAGACAGAGTGACAAAAAGATAGAGACAGACATAGGAGAGAGAGACAAACAGTGAGGGACAGAGATAGAGACACGGAGACGTTATATTTTTCACAGTGAACATAAAAGTCCCGGATAATGCCGGTTATTTTGCTAGTACAGATATATATATATATATATATATATATATATATATATATATATATATATATATAGAGAGAGAGAGAGAGAGAGAGAGAGAGAGAGAGAGAGAGAGAATTTTATACCTGATGTCGCAACACACAAATTCGTAACAAATTTGTCTTGTATAATCTTTGAAATAATACAATGCGATATAATGTTACATAACGCTCCCGAAACTGTGACGAGCTCCTTGATGAAGGGTGAAAGACTGATAAGAGTGAGTCGTCGGAGCTTTTGCGACCAAATACTAATATTGTATAATTGTGCTATGTGCGTTGGCAGCACGAGAAAGGACCTTGTGGCAACGGCGCAGGGTTTAGTGCAGAATGGAAGGAAAGTAGAGCGCATGACACGAGAAGGATACGTGGGCGGGGACAAGTTAAAACAGAAATATTTTTTCGTAATTTTGGCGGCAGGAAGACGAAACTTAAAGTACATTTTGTAAATACCAACTTTTAATATGTTCTTGGTAATTTATTTTCATACTTACAAAATATTGGTTTTGATAAGGGACAGGAACGGATGAAGACTAAGATTCAGAGAGGTTATCTCCGTGGTTGAAGAGTCAGGATATATAAATGATGTATAAATTCAATAACTCGGACGTGAGAGAAAAAGAAAAATTTTTTTTTCAAATATTTCGACTCGAAGTTTGAGTTACCGAACAGCGTAATGAGAGAGGGTAGCAAAGGGAAGTGGACAGATTTCGAGTGAGTTTCCGAGTTACACACTAGGTTTCCTTTTTCACCAGTTCACGGGGGAATTTGGAGAGGTTAGCGACGAAGCCAACGTGTGCATTTGTGGGTGTACGTACTGTAGAAGCTGGTGTCGTCGAGCAGGTAGCAGCGCCGCGACGCCTCATCCCAGAGGAGGCCGCGCTGGCAGCGGCACGTGCGCGCCTCGGACGCGCTGCACTCCATGTGCTCGTCGATGCGCAGACAGTCCTCGTTGCTGCGGCACTTCTCCCCGTACTCGTTCGCTGCAACACCGAGGCCCCCCAAAGAGGACATGAGCTGGCGAAAGAAACACGCACTATACTTCGATTAAGACTTTGGGATGGCTCTTGGGCAGCTGTGGCGCTGTCGTCTAATCGAGAGCTTCAATGTCACTATAGTGATGTGACTACAGTGACGTTCCATATTGGATGATAGCGTCACGGCTAACCAATTGTCTCCGGACTGAATGTTGTAAACGAAGTATACACATTTGCCTTCACTTGTCAGTGACGTTTCTAGATTTTGTTACCGTTCACTTTTATTCCGTTCGACGAACTAGAGACCTAAAAATTCACAGGAACACATCTCGTAACGTAGAGGATTAGTCCGGCTTACAAACAACCATCACTCCAAATATTTACACATCACCGATAAGCAAGTGGAGTAAAATCCTCAGAATGAGTTCAAATTCATTTTAAAATATAGAGCAAGTTATTCATTCAATTGAGTAATTTAAAAAAATGAAGCACTCGTGATGTTTTCTCAAAAATGGATTATTTTCTCATTTATGACTCCGTTACGCCTGCAATAGAGTCGCCATCAACCTGCATTACTGATAGGATACGCGGGTTGCTTACTTTTCAGGCGTTGATGATTTCGAAGTGGAGCTACAATTGAGACCTACGGACTTGCGAAGTATTGTCCGAAATAATTATTTGGTGAACCTATTTATTTTTGTTCAATGATAATTAATGAACGGGATTATGCTTTAAAAACTGACACTTAAGACCTTACTTCTTTAATTTTTATTCACTCGTTTCCATTTTAAGAATGAAATAAAATATATTTATATCTTCATATTCATTTTCATCATATTATGTACATTTATTTGTTGATTTTCAAAGAACGTTAATATTCGTCCTCATTTTTTTCTCTCCACTTGTTCAGTTTAATTCTTCATCGCCCGCTACAAAGGCCTTTCTATTAATTTGGACACATGGACAGAACATTGTCTCTGCTATCAATATAATAATCATGAAAATTACAGTAATTGTATTGACATATATAGAAACATAATATTTTTACTAATATTTTAGTCATCTCTTCCAACTTTCTTTTATTCAAGCAAATAAAATAACACTTATTATTTTTCGCAAAAATCTCGAAAATGGCTACGAAATCAACTGACATGAATTTACCGTTTCTGAGAGCAAAACGATTTTCTACTAATATTTTGTGGTTTGTTTCCATCGCAACCTTAGATTTTGAATAATTAAGAATCAAAATTGTCCCTGGAAGGTTGCAACAATACAGTTATTTATAGCTACTCGCAGAAACGAGGATGTTAACAACGGTGATCGTAGCGAGTTCGGCTGGGCATAGCCGGGCGTGACGAAACAAATTACGAAGAGCAGTGTGAGGAGGTACAAAGCGGGATTGGGTACCACAAAGGACGGCACGAGGGGAGTGGAGTACACTTAAGGGTGTCGCAGAGAATCAGTTACAAACTTCTAGCTATGTAGTTTATAGCAAATAGAGGGGTCTATTCTGATCATTTTTGTCAATGAATATGTGGGAAAATTCATACAACAAATTTACACCCATGACAGTAGCCCCTAATTGATAGGCAACTCGACATACGTTGGTGTTTAACAGGATAATCTTTGACTGCACTAGAATGTGACCTGCAAGACATCGGGGCATATTGGGTTGCATACCAATCAAGGGCAACGCCACTATATGAAATTTCTCACTTTATGTTCATCGGCAAAAAATAATTATCTCCAGCCCCCTACACGCGTTATTAAGTTATGACATTTATTATGAGACGCCATATCAAGATAGAATTGATTTCTTTTCCTACACTACGATTTAATTATAGTAACAAACTATATAATAACATTATTTTCAGTAGCAAAAGTGCTTGAACTTTTCTTTAGCTTCGGGTATGCCAAACGCAACACTCTTATACTTATGAATGTTTTCCTAAAATCTGCGCATCCTTAAGAATTGTAACTAACATTATTACAGAACACTCGAGTTATCAAAATGATTAAGTTTTATTACAGTAACATCCATTTCCCTCTTTTTTCCAAACATTAACTTCGGGAATATCACAGATTTGTTTAATATTGGTAGGAAAATTGTAAAGGAAAGATTGGAGATGATCTTCACAAATATTTATTTGAGAAGATTTTAGAAGTGATTTGACGTTGGCGTTTGAAGTTAAAAGTACTTCTAATTTATGAAAGATTACTGTGTAGCGTTGGAATTATGTGGTATAATAATTATATTTAGTGAGGTATTTTTATGCCCCAATATATATATTTCGGATTTCGGAACATTAAGAAAAAAGCTTCCTCATATTATTGTTATTGTTATTATTATTATTATTATTATTATTATTATTACTATTATTATTATTACTTTTATAATTATGTAAGAATTATCTTTATTTGAAATGAGTTTCAAATAAATGGTTAGTACCAACTTCTCTCATTGAAAAAAAACCTCTCTTAACATTTTTCTATTCACGTTGCTTGAACTCTTCTCAGCATTGTGGGATGCAATTCACAGCTATAGAACAGCGGTGACCTTCAGCAAATATTCAGATAACGAGCTTATCGCCACTAGGAATTATGTCTTTGCGACAGTCACTAATTTCCTCTCATTTCTAATGCGTCTTGCCACTAGAATATCACACATTGCACACTTTGTGTATTGTAAAATAATGTGGTAATCAGAATAAATAATTATATAAAGGAGTATAATAATAAAGTAAGTCAGTGATGCAATGTTATAATTTTACAACTTCATTATAGTTCTGTTTCCCCCATTCTCTATTGATAACAAGTGGTAGACTATATTCAACAAAAATCAGTTTTTTGGCAAAAAGGCTGCACTATTCCCAAGAAGATTACACCATCAAATAAATTAGTTTTTAGAAAGTGAATCCTCTAATATAATCACAGTTACAATGGTAGTTAAAATTAACAGCTGTATCCTATTAAAATATTTTACGTCCAAAAGAAAATGTCATGATATTATGCACCTCCACCACGCACATTATTCCGGATTAGTTCATCAACAACGACCACATTTATAATGAGCAAACTTAATGTTTCATAATAGAATACTTTTCTCCGACTGTTCTTTTTCCATTTCATACAGACTGGATATGAGAACATGACAAGTTCCCAGGACAGTAAATACGAACAATTTTGCCCCCAAAAAGGATGTAAAGCAAGAAGATATTAAAAAAGTAATTCGGGTTGTTGGTTAATGTGCCCAGGCAATATCATTTTGAGAACGCTTCCGTATTGTTTTGACATGTATACGAATTTTTGTTTTCTTTTATTAATTTTAATTAGTACTATTTTATTAATTCATGTTTGAATTTAAATCTTGAAAACCGTTGATTTTTAAATCTATCATAATCGTTTTTGTTTTCGTGTCAATTTCTTTCAACAATATTTGTACTATATGTTTCCGACTGATAAATGCTCATCTTGATGCAGATTTCTTCAAGTTTTTCAGCGATCTAGAGAGAATGCTGAGATGGTCATTTGCTTCTGAACAGTAATCTCGTTTTTGCCTCCCACTAATTCAGTCAACCTTAATAAGTTGAGTTCAATTTGCTAATTGTGTGAAATTTTGTTAGCATTAGTATACAATCAAATCTGTAGTTCGTCGATGCAACAACTACGTTCTTTATTACTCAGGAGCAACATTTTCTAGTTTTCAAATGTTGCCAACCACGCTTTTTTTGTTATTTAAGGTCGCATCAATGATAAGTTCCTTAGCGACCACCGTTGCATTTAACGGTATGGTAACTGTAAAGATGACATTGGATGATGATAAGGGGTGAAAGGACGAACACAAATACAACTATGCCCGAGGCGGGACTGGAAACCGTGATCCTTTGGACCGAGATAGCTACGGCACTAATGCCTTAACAATCTCGGCCACCCGGACTGGCACCAACCACTCTTCTTCGTACATCGTATTCATAATTTAGCTATGTGTAGAATAAGAGTGGGGGCGGGATTCTGGAGCTCCAGAATACGTACTAAGAATATACTTCCCCCTACATCGCCTAGAATTTTTACTGATTTTCATGACAGGCAATTTAAATTAAAATAATTTTCGCATTGAGAGTAATTTGAATATGTATGTATTAAGTTTTATTTATGTTTACATCTTTATAAGCAATCTAAAGAATCAATTACCCTCTAATCTGTTTGAAATAATGGATTCGTTTTCGATCGAGAGCGCAGTGCTGGAGGAAGTTGCATACCTACGCAGGGGAAGAGTCCCGAGTGGCTGGGCTCGCAGACGCAACGGTCGTTCTTGCACGTGTAGCCCGGTAGGTTGACGCACGCCATTGAATCCTCGCAGAATATGACACCTGCAACACACACACAGCTCATGAAAAGACGGGCAGTTTGCAGGTATCCTTCAACTCGGCGATGTCGGTATCTGGAAGAACCCTGGCTAACTGCATGCCATAATCAAGTTTTAAGGGTATAAGAAGTTAAAGGTATGAGAAGATAATGTAAATTAAGGTACATCAAATTTAACCTTCCGTTTGTCTATTTCTCTCTAACACGTGTTTTTAAAATTTTCAAAATTTATGTATTTGAAAATAGTTTTATCAAATGTGGTATCACAATTTTCATATTCCTGTTTGTGTTTTTATAGTTGAATTTGTAAAATGTAACAATTTTTAAATTAAATTTACAAATACACTTGCTGAATTTAATTGTAAATTTGGTTTTCGAAATTGCCGTACCTTTAATTTTAAATCGTAATGACTTGCTTATCTACGAATTTATACGATTCCGCAGAATTTCGTTAATTCTTTGCAAGCATAAACAACATTACAATTTAAAACCTCAGGTACGGTATAAAACAAATCCCCGTGGCAAGTCGCACAAAAGAATCGGTTGATGTATTAAATTCCATTGATGGTATAAGCAATTATTTAATAAATTTAACTTATAAATGGGAGAAGCGGAACCGCACTTGATCTACCAAAACAAAAATTTTGAATGTGTCAACCACTTACTACGAACATTTTGTGGTTCAGGGAGTAAGAAGACCAAGGCCGGCGACGCGTCAGTCACAGAAATAGCTGCACCAAAGTTTACTATGAAATTTGGTTTGGGGCAACTGTAAATCAGTGTGGTGCTGTCATTTCTTCTTTTCGGTGCTGGGACATGGAAAGTAATATATGAATATGACATACTGGCAGGCCACAGTTTGGAGCCGAGAAACTTCTCACCAATGCATCCCTGTGGGTGTGGGCCCGTGGACCCCCAGCTCGAGCACATCAATCAACAAATTACGGAACTTTGGATGTCACAGCATGCCGTTGTCTCATGAAGTTTGAAAGACCGGAGTAGTTAACTACATAATAGAAAAATATCTATTCCCCCGCAGGAAATACGTGTTGTGAGAGATCACTCGATGAGGTAAACTGTTAACCGATATCTCCGGAATACAGTAACAGAATTCAGCTAATATGCTGTCATTAACTTCAGTTTCTACGAGACCCGTTTCATATGCCTCGAGAACAGTGTTGTTAACAACAAATGTAAGAAAAATAATTATATCGGACCTTAGTATCAGAGATTGATTGAAGAACGGGCAAATTAAAAATTGTCTATGCACCAAATCAGAAATCCAAAAATATTGTTTATCCACTTGTGTTACTATAGATGTATCTGGGAAGACGACTGCTGGTTTCTGCTAGTATTTAATAAAACGTGATCAATTCATGTACATTAAATAAAACTAATTTTAGTAAAAATCTATGTTCAACATTACATAACTTTATGCTTAGTGTCCGTGTCAGGTATATTCACCTACCGCGCACATGGTTCTGGCTTTGATTTCCAATGGGGACTCGAGTTTTTGTATTAGTTCTTTTTTTAGACAATTGCTGGTAATGAAATTCATACATGGCAAAAACGAACTAGGTTTCGAAAATACGGCGAACCGCACTCCAGCACTTTGCAACAAGCACTATTGACACGTTTTACACTAGTTAATTTCATAAGCTTAGGTGTTATTGCAGCCACAAGTGGTGATGATAACGAAATATTTTTTACGTCGAAAATTTCACTACTCTGGTAAATATTGTATCATGAAAGATCTTCCACACAACACATTCCTAACGACGTTCACAGAATAACTCAGAAATAGAATAATTGCAGGTTCTGTCGGGAAGATCATTGCACACACCATGTGCGAGGGGAAGGGCAGGAAGAAAGAGTTAAACGCAGAACATGCAGAAAAAGAGCTTAAGAGTGTGAGATAGGTTCGCCTGTGGAGCTCTCCGGCTTATGGGACGCCGGATAGATTGTTCGTTGGGAGCTCTTTGATTTCAAAATGATTTCATGAACATCGATGTTGCTGCAATATCTTGAATAATGAATGTCATTAAAAGGCAAATGTATATTCTTAACTTATACGATTTTTTTCGATTTTCTGAGGTTGTGCAACCGTGCATCCTACGCACGAGCAGCCACTGGCTAGAATTCTTCTCCAGCGATTGAATTCGACGCTACAACGCTTCACCGACCATTTTCGACACCGTAGCTGGTGCCGAAAATTAGACACTGGCAAAACTCGATTTCTATAACCTTTCGGCCAGATACGCTGGAGAAACCGCGGCAATGCTGGCTCTGAGCTAAATCAGCCGACAGGAATTCCGAAAAGACAATAGTTTCATTTTGAGAAGTCTTCTGCTATGGAGTTATGGAGTTTTACAAAATATGGTTTGATGATTGCATAATTCAGCGACTGACATTCCAAAGCTTTCAGATTGTTCTTTTTTAATGGCCGAATAGAGGTCATGGGCCTTGTAACCCGAACATTCACAAAAAAAGAGAAAAATGGACAGAATATCAGTGCTTTATTTTCGAAAATAAAATTCCAGCTGAACAAGAACATACTTAATCATGTTGTAAATCATTAATATATATATATATATATATATATATATATATATATATATATATATATTATCACACACTTGTTAACTGTAATTACGGGTTCTCATCAAACGTCAAATCGGAGTACTTCCGGGTAAGTTTGCAACATTTTTTCCGGAGTTGAATGTGGAAAACGTTTCAAATACTATGTGCTATCTGAAGTAAGACTCATTTATTTGCGAACACTGATTCTTTGCTGCTTTTTATAAACACACCCAGGTGAATAAATATGCCAATTACTTTGAAGGCTGCGGTATAAATAACACAATTGACAACAGAAACGTTTCACTCCAGAGCGACAAAATCTTGGCACCCACATGACGTCGGAACGGCGCTCCGGAGAAGGCGCGTGGCAGGCCGATGAATGATCCCCGAAGCGGAGCGCTCGATTCGCCCACCTGTGCATACGCAGCCGCCATAAAGTGCGTCCGCCTAGCGCGGATGACGTACGCGGCAAATAGCTCAGGCGGCACAGCCCACACAGCCGCGCGCGCACGCGCTCACGCCGCGTGCTGAGGTCCCCGCGCCAGGCGCCGGAGGTTTAATGACACGAATTTCCCTTTGGATGGCCCTCCTCTACATCGTTCGTTTGAGTTTTCTGCTAACAGGTCTCCGAGAAGCGCACTAGAGCTGAGGTGGGCATTCCGTCAGCTGAAATTCATTTCTTGCACTAGTGGTAACAGTGCCAAGAATATGATTCATACAATGTGAAAATAGCAGTTTACCACTAGCTCGTTTGGCTCTTTCCGCTTGAACTCTTGTCTTTGAGACGAAGGCACTTACCCGCCGTGGCAACAATGTTGAGGTTGAGCGCCAGTACGGAGGCAGCGAGGGCTCCGCTGTGTCGCATCATGCCGGAGGCGGGCGCGACTCGTAGGCGATGGACGTCGGGGCGTCTTGGGGAGACAGACGAGAACGCGTCGCACTCGACTCGTCAGTTCCAGGTTCCGGCCTCGGACGCAGCAGCCAGAGGAAACGTGTCTCACGCACCACGTCCGACCAAAACGAGCGTTCGCCCTCCCTAAGTGGCGTATTGATCGCGGCGCGGCGCCCTCTACCCCCTCCGTCGCGGGGTGGCGCCCAGCCCAGCCCAGCCCCGCTCCGCTCCGCTCCGCTGGGGCACTCGCAGAGATTGATTGAGAGCGGGGCGCCCTCGCCGCGCGGTGACGTCGCCTCCAGGCGAGGGTGTCAAGCCGCTTCGATGATTTATTGCGCATGCAATATCTCCTGTCTCCAAGACGATTTAAATATTAGCACTTTTTCGATATTGCCAATTTAATTTATCGTCGCTCGATTTATTCTTGTTTAGATGGCTTTTCTACATATAATTCTGAATATAAAGATTTTGGCTTCAAATTGCCATCTGATATCTTCTAAAGTAGTAAAGGGAAGCCCTGGGTGAATCTTTGCCGTGTGTATTTCCACGAATTGCGGGTTCCCAGGTTAAGTTTGAGAAATTGTTTTGAACTGTTGGCTGAATTGCTCCTAATGTGCATTGGTAATACTGTGAGCATGTTAAGATTCCTTACCATGACGTGATGTATATGTACTATCTGTGACTTACAACGTAGTGTTTTTATGATTTATTTTAGAGACGATCAGTATCAATCAGTATGTGTTGGAGTGTGTGACGTGTAGATAAGATGTGACCCTGTGCAATTACATTATATTTACTTAACTATATTTTGTAGATATTGTTCGTAATTTTTGAAGAATTTAGTTCACACGGAACGTACAGTGGAATGGATGTACAGATTTTCTTGGTGGTTTCTCATTCGATGTAAATGCTGTTATCTAACGGTGTCGTGACGGCGACACTTCTAGTCAACATTCCGCGGGTTTAGGTTGACGAGAACTGACAGAATGACGGGTCCTATGGCGAGGAATAGGTGCAGTTTTTCTTGACAACAAATTAAATTTAGATCTATTAATTACACGGAAGAGGAATTGAAAATGGACATGCATTTTTATTTACGTCGTAAAGTGCTATTCGGAGTGATGATTGTCTTCATGTTTTGTTTGGGTCTTTCCTCAATTTTGGCACAGCTGGGAGATGTTTCGTATGCAATGTCAACTGAAGAACGCCTCGAGTTGAAGTGAGTTGTTTTTTATTACAATAGTGACAGCTTTCCTTTCGAAATACCTTTTTTTATCTTGACAAGTAGATTTATTTTTGGTATGTTCTTTTTGCTGCCTTTAGTAGGCAGACAACACAAGTTGATTTATTTTTGGTATAAATGTTCTTTTTTCTGCCTTTAGGGAGGAGGCTCGAGATATGTTTTATCATGCGTATAGAGCATACATGGTCAGTTATATTAACGTTTAATTATTTTTATTCATTACCTTAAGTATGGTCCTGTCTTACTGTGATTTGTTGAACAGGAAAACGCATATCCTGCTGATGAGTTGATGCCTTTAAGTTGTGGCGGTAGATGGAGAGGTACAGGCCCAAGCCGTGGGGACATTGATGATACTTTGGGAAAGTAAGTTTTTAATCAACAAACACCTTGTTTATTAAGTATGGAAGCTCATTCTAATTGTTTTTAATTTCCCTTCTTTTCTGTTTTAGTTTTTCCTTGACATTAGTGGATGCAATGGACACATTAGTAGTAAGTAATATTAATTTATTCTTTGTTTTAGTACATGAAAAGTATTACTACTATTTTACATAAATGTGTGTTTCAGGTTCTAGGTGATCTCGAAGAATTTGACCATGCAGCCCAGTTGGTTGTGCAAGATGTAAACTTTGATAAAGATGTGATAGTGTCAGTTTTTGAAACCAACATTCGTGTTTTAGGGTTGGTTATCTTCATTCTATAAATAGGGCTTATCTATCTCTACCTTCCTTCAATTCAATTGTTACATCAAATTTATGTGTATATTCCAGAGGCCTACTCTCAAGCCATATATTAGCAGAGTACTTGCAGCAAAGGGCAGGCATTATGCAGTGGTATAAAGGACAGCTGTTGGATCTGGCCAAGGATCTTGGTTTTCGTTTGTTGCCTGCATTTAATTCCACTACAGGAATTCCTCATGCAAGGGTAATGAATAACTTACATTATTTCTCAGAGCTCATTCTCTAAATGATGATGGAAACTTGTTTTATTCTTGTTGAATGTCTTAGTGGGTTCCATCAATTCAATCTCAGTATTTTTTATTGATGGGATGCACCATTAATTTTAATTATTGTTCTATATTTGTTTCAAAAATTTACCTTTCTAACAATCAGTCTGCTTTGTTCATTTTAACAATTAAAGTGGAGAATTTGAAACACCCTTAGAGATAAGTAAAGGGAAGTCAATATTTTAGTTGCTTTACTCACAATTTCCCTTGTGTTTGTAGACCAATTTACTTATATCGCTGAGTTGACACTTTGCTATTAATTTGGAAGAAAAAGATGATTTACAGGCCTTCAGTCCTTGTGATTAACATTTACTGTGATGCTCTGCTCAACTCTGCCCCCGGCAGGTATCATCTGTTAAGTTTCAGTCAATTAGGAGCTTGATCATCACTATAGTGATGGTTAAGGAATTGCACTCACTCAGTCACTTCTGCTAAATCCAATTTCATCTATCTTAACACAGAAAACCCTGACATCCTCATTGTTGAAGTAATGTATTTTCGTGAATGATGCATTGTTGTAACGGACAGTAACACATATTTATATAAAGTACATTAATTCAGAAATATACTGCTACAGTTATTTCGATGATGTCATTTACGGTTATCGAGAACTTGTGTTTTGAAAATTCTGTGATTTTACAATGGACAAAATTGGTTGATACTGTTAATGATGTGTTTATATATTTTCTTCCATATGGAGTCAATAACTCTGAAACTTAATATAACACTTTAAAGAATGTACTACATTATTTATAGGGCTATATTGCAATTGAAGGTTTTCATCAATTGTTATTCAATGTTGTTTTGAAGTGTCCTTTCAGAAGGATGGCAGGGTAATATATGGTACTATGTTATACATAGATAATGGGCACTGTTAGAACTTTTGGAGTTCATTTAGAATTAAACAAAGATGAAATACCAAAATGTGGTATGAATGAAACATTACACGCTCCTCTAAATTTAATTGATGATGTAACAAATTATGATTCGGGTGCAGAAGAAAATCCAAATGTAGATTATTTACCAGCAAGTCGAGTAAATGCTAGAGTGCTTTGTGATATGGACATTTCTGTGACAATTTAGGGACATCATAGATTCAAATAAATTGTTCCTCTGTTGTGATACCATTCTGCCGATGAATAGATGGCCCCATTCTTTAGAAGACATGACTGCAAATAATTCATAAGAGGAAAACCATATAGATATGGATTAAAATACTGTTTTGGAAGTACCAGTGTTGGATATACTCTTCCGCTCAAACCCAACCTCAAGAGCTGGCACATTATGGCATGATAATGACCTGCACGAACACTTCCACATGTGCCATATCAAATTTTCTTTGATAACCTGTTTACCAATGTTGAACTACTACATCATCTAAAGAAGAAGGGTAATGGAATCAATAGGAATAATACGAGGAAAGTGAGTTTACATCTGCATATAAAATTATACAGGAAAGGATATTATATAAAGATTGTTTTGACTCAGCATCTGGTTTGCTCATGCAGGATCAGTTTGTTGCAATGACAACAGTGTTGTTACAAACTTTGTCACAGTTCAACTATTGCGTTCTGTAGAAAGATTTCCCAGGGAAAAAGAAACGAATTAGCATACCCAAGTCTAAACTATTGCATTTCTATGAAGCATGTATCAGCAGACATCATGCTGATCAAAATGTATTCCTTTATAGTTGTTTAACAACAGAAAAATAGTAGTACATTCCATAGTCACTGCAGAGGGATCTTTCCCTGGGATCTTTAGAAACCCAAAGAAGACACCGTACATCTGACATTTCGCAGTCAAATCGCCACCAAAATACAGGAATATGACAAAGGATGACTTCTAATAGAGGGCACAACAAGATTCTCGATTTAATGGAAAGAAACATGTTGCTGATTTACCTTCGGGCAAGAAAACTCAAAATAAGTAACAGAAATGACAAAATTGCCCCTACAATATGTCTAAAATGTGATTAACTCTTTCATGTTTGTAGCTATAGTAGCTCATCATACAGTAGCAAAAAACTATCTATAAGGTTTTTTTGGTTATTTCTTGCAGTAATTTGTAGTCATAACCACAAAACTAGCTTTTCTTCTCATTCATTTAAAAATACTGATACCCAAACAAGTTATATTATCCAAGTCTTTACCTTCACGTGAAATATCTCTGTTGTCCTGATGTCCTTCTGGAAGGACACTTGCTTTGGAAATACTAACAAAAATACAAACTCAAAATTCTTTTTATTTTCTTTCTAATGACATTATTGCAGAATTCTAATATCATATAACACCAAAAAAAAAAAAAAAATCAGAACTATCTGGGTTAATGAGTTCTGTTACTAAATAAATATCAGTTCAAAATGTTCTTAATGCTATGCCATTAACCCATATGATATGGTAGATCCAATACTACCCCTTGTTATTGAGAGATTCCTCTCAAAAATCCTCAATTTCCCACCATCTCCTCTATTGTGAATTTCTCTTTTGTGTAAAAAACTTAAACTGCCAGTTTAAGCAACTTCCTTAAGTTGTATTCTATTCTGTATTCTAATGATTTTCACATGCTAAATTCATAAACCAACTGTAAGGCTATTTCTGCAATGTTAGCTTATTTAATTTCAGTTTAGAACAATATTTTGTTTGAAGGTAGTAGTTGCAAATAATTGGAGACTTTAATGGAGTCCTGTAGAGGATTTAGCATGTAGACTTCAGAAAATTTTGTAGTCCAAGTAGTAAAGATAAACTTAAATGTTTATCTTCACTACTTTGACTTGTTTACCCCTTTCTAGTCGTTTCACTTCTTTGTTTTCTATGAAGTGGGGTTCTATGTGACAGTCAAACAATTAGACTTGCATTTGCTGTGTCTGTTTAATTGTGCTGCTGAACGTTTTCGTCGACAATTTCCAGCCACCTTACTTGCAATGTACGTATTTCAGGTAGATTACACTCGTTATCAAGTCATCTGTTTGTCCATTTACACTTGTTCCATTTACATTTACAGGCTGCTGAAGTAGGAATTGCTATATGTATGATTGTTTTAATTGTGTTAGCCTGAACCAGCAAATGCACAAAAAGGGTCCATCTGAAACAGCATCTGACCAACGTTGATGCCAGAGATGCTCTGAGAAGAGGTGCTTGTTTGTTTTTTGATTCCTGCAGGAAAAATAAAATCCCCTTCAATACAGGACAATGCATAGCAAAAATATTTATCAAACTTGAAAAAAAACAACCCACAATATTAATTTATCACGATAGAAAAAACTCGTAGAGATTATTAAAACCATAATTTACTAATACTAACCTATTCTACCTACTTTAACAAAAAAAACTTCATTATTTAAACTTCACTACTAATCTAATACACAACACCAGATTTTCAATTCTGTATTTGCACAATAAATATTAAATGGTGCTTAATGTTTGTGCAATCATTTGAAAAAATTTTAATAAGATCTTGACATCGCCATATTACTCGCAGCTTTTGTCTTGAGTATTCGACTTTGTAATATTATCCTTAATATTTTGTGTATTAACTACACTCTGATTCTTCCATTATTTGTTCATAAAACCATCTGCCTCTTAATGTTGCTACATTACACATTCACAACGTGGTCTGCATACATGCACCCTCTGTAGTATTAATGGAGCTCTCAATTTCTGATGTGCAAAGCAAGCAATTCACTTTCTCCATAGTTGCTTAATTCTCCCTACCGAGCAGTACATTTGATGCCATTGAAACTCTCTGCATATCCAGTGATGTGTGCTAGACATCCTGAGCTTTTATCTTCTATGTGTTCCTGACCTTGTGGTAGGATCTATGCCGTTCCCAGAGGACCTTGCTTGAAGTACAATCTTTGAATATCTTTTTGAACTACATGACTTGCTTTGACTCATAATATTGAATAACATTGAAGTTGTGATCTAGAAAGCAAGAACTCTGAACCAAATGCTGCCAGTGCACAATATTATTCGAATATTGGATTTTTAAAGTGTAGTGTAGCGTAGTTAAAATGTAGTTAAAAAGTGTTTAATCTTTATGGAATAAACAGATCTTGAACTTGAATTGTATTTATTTTATACACTTAAATAACAAAGCATTGCTGCGGCTGCTAGTTAATTTGAAAACTGTAGTAGACAATGGCTCTCAGGAAAATAATAGGGAGATATTAGGAACAAGGACAGAGCAGCAGCATTAGTTGGAAGGAGAGTTTAAGAGCAATTTAACAAAGTGATAAAAGATACTTGCTCATCAGAACAGATTGATAAAAATGTTATTTTCTAAGAAAAACGAGACAGAAAGTAACTGGATTTTTAAGTGATTTCTGCACATTTTTAGGGAGTAGATATTTTGAAGAATATTGAGATCGCGCGGAGATGGTGTAACAGTTAGCGTACTGGACTGTTGAACCCAAGTTGGCGGGTTCAAACCCGATCGAAGCCGTGGATTTTTAAGGGCGAAAAAATTTTGCGTATGCCTTCCTTTGGAGGGGAAGTAAAGCCGGCTGTCCCATGTTAGAAGATTTACTTGCATATAAAAGACCCTCAAGCCTATATAATGCCTCTGAGCTAAATTGAAATCGCCTGTTTCTCGCCCAAGAAATACCTCCTTTCTCTGCTAGTTGGTGAAAGGACCGTAACGATTTGTAGTGGTAAGACGGAAGAGCGGGTCTGATGGCCCGAGTCTCGCCACGTAAAATAAGGTATTAATTCAATTCAATTCAATATTGAGGTAAAGCAGGAAATTCTGACTCTTCAAAAGTTACAATGCTATGAAAGAAAACCAGGTCATCATTTTTCCGAAATGTTCTACAAACCAATTGTGAACAATTGTGGCTCAGTAACATGGTGCATTGTCGTCCATAAAACTTCCATCCTTATTTGGGAACGTGAAGTCCATAAATGGCTGCAATTGGTCTCTAAGTAGCTGAACATAACCATTTCCAGTCAATGATAGGTTCAGTTGGACCAGAGGGCCCAGTCGATTCTACGTAAAAACAGCTCACACCATTTTGGAGCCACCACCAGCTTGCACAGTGCCTTGTTGATGACTTGCGTCCATGACTCTGTGGGGTCTTCACCAAACACAAACCTTATCGTTAGCTCTTACTAACTGAAATTGGGACACATTGACTAAGCCACAGTTTTTCAATCATCTAGTATCCAATTGGTGTGGTCACGAGCCGAGGAGAGGTCCTGCAGGTGATGTCATATTATTTAAGGCACTTGAGTCAGTCTTCTCCTGCCATAGCCTGTTAAAGCTAAATTTTGCTAACTGTCCTAATAAATACATTGGTTGTTTCATCCCACATTGAGTTCTGCGGTTATTTAATGCAGTGTTGCTTGTCTGTTAGCACTGACAATTCTAAGCAAATGCTGCTAGTTTTGGTCATTAAGTGAAGGCCATCAGCCACTCTGTTGTCTGTGGTGAGAGGTTTATTTATTTGTATTTATTTATTAATGCAATCGCAGCAGCAACAGCTGATGTACTAATATCATTATCAAGAATATAATTCATCAAATTACATGCCACCTGTCTTTCCATTACCTTTCCTACATTACTGATTAAACTAACTGGCTTGTAGTTTCTTGGCAATTGCTTATTGTCCTTTTTAAAGATTGGGGTGACAATAGCTGACTTCCATTGTTGAGAGACAATACCTGTATCTAACGATTTTCTGA